CCGCCACCCTCGACCTACTAATCTTCGTCGTCGTTCTCTTGCTCCGGCGCGTTTCTAATCACCTCCTATTTCTCCTACCTCTTCCAGTCCTTAACCTTAATTCTCCCCCCTTTCTCCTCAATCGTCTCCCATTTCTACCACCACATTACTTCCGACCCCCAATCCCAGTTAATCTTCTTCCTTCTATTCGCCGTCTCGTTTTTACTCTTCGTCGGCGCTTTCGAGATCTGCTGCGGGCACAGGTCGCGGCGGTGTGGGCGGAATGGCTGCAGGGGGCTGAAGAGGTCGATGGAGTTCGATTTGCAGCTCCAGGGTGAGGAATTGCTCCGCTCCGGCGACCGGAGTAAGTCGGTGAGGGATGTGAACGAATTGCCGTGGAAAGGTGGGAGTGAGGAGAACCCTGATTACGAGTGTCTGCGCGCCGAGTTGAGGAAGATGGCCCCGCCTAACGGCCGCGCCGTGCTTCTCTTCTGCCTGAGATGCGGCTGCCCTATTTCGAAACTCGAAGGTTGGGGCCCCAAGCGCGGCCGGAGAAACAAGAAGTGATTGTCGCGTGTGATGTTCGGTTCGGTTCGACTCTTCTCTTTTTAGGTACGCGTTTTTTGTCGTTTCGTTTTCGTCTGAGTTGTTTCGAGAGTTTCGTATTGTTTGTGTTTGATGATGGTGGTTTTTGTGTAATTAAGTTTGATTTGAATACTGAGTTGTTGTGGATCATGGATTATGATGACTTATGAATATGCGTATCGAGTTGTCTTGTTGTTTAAAATCGAATTCGTCGATACGAATGAAGTAATCGTCGTCTGAGGGCATCTATATTAGCATCTCCAAAGTTGAAAGGAGAGAGAGCTTTGATTCTTGGTTTAATGCCGTAAATCTGTTTTGAACATTTAATATCGTTTATATAGAGATGTAAATAATCTTTATACGCCTATCAACGAGTCACGTACAACAGTTCTCATCTTACGCGATTCTTTTAGGTTTTAGTTATGAACTACGTAATCACGTAAAACCCTTGCAGCAGTAACACAACTTTAATTCACCATCTTAAAATCACTCAATATCATATTCTGTTGTCCATTTTTTGTAGGAGAAATTATGATCGATATGTAGAGTAAACTGCTCGTTTCTAATATACGTCGCCCATCTCCATGCAGTTTGGATTAATTATACGTTTTTACTTCCATTAATGGTCGAACGTAGATGCCCTTGTGTTTTTGTCTTGTGCACCGTCTGTGATGTTAGCTTCGTACTTTATTGGGGAGAGCTGAAAACCGTTTGCATTGGAGGCTTTATGCTCTTTCTTTCGATTATTTGCAGTATACGTGTTGCTTGAAAAGCTTGTTTTTATGTGTTAAATTTAATAGAGTCGTAGAAATCAACTTTCTTTAAAAAAACATTCAGCTACGTTGAGTGACGTATACACCTTTCCGTTTCCTTTCCGTTTCTTGTCGTATAAGTTATTTAAAGAATGAATTTCTTGCCGTTTTATATGTATATGTTACCGTTATACACTTCAGTTACATGCAATTAGCCTTATCTCATGATGAGTTGTTGGTATGTAGATATGAAATTAGATTAGTTCATAACATGCAGTTCACCCTTAAAAATTGTTTACGGAAAAAATGGTAAACGTTGAAATTCACCCCTCTTATAGAACATTTATGTTATAACAATTGATCACAACGATTGATCACGATATAGTAATTCAGTCATCTTCGTATAAATTATGTTATACGACTTATCACATATCAGTCGTGCCTTTGTAATGAATTCTGTTTATCTGATGTTAACTTCAGGAGTTTGGGTCGTGCTGGTGGAGGTGACGATCGACGACTGCGGTGGATTTAGGTTTAGCGCTTTTGAGTCCCGTCTCCTGTTTCTTGTTTTACCATTGGTTTCGTTTTCTTTCTAAAATAGCTTATCTTTCTGTCTGACTGACTGTGTTCATGAAGAACTTAAATACTTATATTAATACATATCCATATTCTCGTGGGAGCTCTTCGCTATCTGTTATACGAAATCGAGTCGTAATAATTACGAAAAAATCCCTCATTGTTACATAATTACATCCAAACCCTTGTAATTTGTAGATTTCTTACATTTACACCCTTTTGTAGGTAGGGGTGGATGTAAGAAATTTACAAACTACAGGGGGCTGGATGTAATTTTGTAAAAAAGAAGGGATTTTTTGTAATTACACTTTATCTCAGGGAGGTGGTTGTAAATTGCTGGGATTTATTTGATCAAAATAATATACCCATGGTAAAATTATGTAACAAAAATTAAAATCAATGTAAGATGTATAATATGATTTTAAATGGTAAATGTCATTGTAAAACTCTTCAAATAAATAATAGAAAAAGCATTTAGTAAACAAAATTGCCCTAATTATTAATGTTTTATTATCTTTAGAATAAATACCATTTAGATGACAAATATAATTAAAAGATTAAGTACAAGTAAATATAAAACAAAAAGGACCAAAAATAAACAAAATAAAAATCATTGTAAATTTTATATATGAGATTTTTTTAAAATTAAAATTTCGAGTTTGTAAAATAATAAAAGTAAAATATTGGTTTTGCAGTAAAATAAAAGGGAGAGAGAGTAAAAAAAAAAAGAGAAAAGAAAGGTATAAAATGTAATTCAGGGGGCAATTGAAGATTATGTAGTAGTTCAGGGAGGTAAGTGAAATTAACCCTTTTTTTATTTTTTAGAAGGAAGACTGATATCGCGCCTGAATTCCGTTTGATCACTTTCCACTAAAGTCGTGTTTCTTATTTCGATAAAGCGCATTTTAGCAAAGATAAATTACCCAGTTCATTTTCTCTGTTCTTCACTGATCGAGAGCTCATCGTCCTCCAAATTCAGGTACTTCCTGATTTCTTTTCTTCATGTTTTTTTTCTGGAATTCAATTGACGTATTACCCATTCAGTTAATTCTCCGTTCAATTTTATTTGGCGATTGCATATTTTTTCCTGAATGTACAACGATTTTCTGTGTTCTTGACGGAGTTGTACTTCCCCTCTGCTTGTTAAGCATGATTATTATCTGAAAATTAGGGTTTATTAATTCGTGTGATAGTATTCTTGTCACATTTAGATCATTTGCCACTCTGTGCTTTGCTTTTTCTTTTGGAATTATTTGGGGGTTTTAGGGTTGGGGTTAGATTTTGTTTGTTCATCTGTTTTAAGTGGTGATATGCTAGTATGTTTTATATTGATCTCGTTTCATGTTACAAAGAACAGGGGTTGGATTGCAATTTATAACGCAATTTGAGTTTACTCGTATGTTTGTCGGTTTTATTAAAATTGGCATCTGATGTTTCTTCCGATCTTGTAACATAATTCTTACCTCAATTCGTTGCTTGCTTTATAGGAGTTCATTGGCTTGGCTTAACTAGCGCTGTGGTTCGTGTTTTCTTAATCATGTCACTGCCAAAAGTGGATGATATTCATACTAATTCTGAGGTATACATTGCTTCAATCATCTCTGTGTGTGTGTAATTTAGTTGCAGAGATTTGATACACCGCTCTTTCGGCTTTCCTTAAACACAATCTTGTGCCCCTTCATTAAAACACGAAAGCCTCGTTTGGTTGGTAAGAGATAATTCATGACCAATTACACAATTGTTAGGTCTTATTTGATGCTTGGTTAGTGCTGTGACTTTCTTATCTTGGACAACTTTATCTCGAGAACCAAACGAGGCCTATTTAAATTTCTTTGAGAGAGTGATGAATAAAACGTTGTACCGAAACTTACGTTTCCTTACTCCGTGATTTGAATTTTTGCAGCTGATATCAGAAGTTTTCAACCAACTTCTCGATTCTATCATAGTAGATGTTGCATCGGAGTGTCACCGAATTACAAAGCTTGGACTAGATCGTAATTTAGACGAAGAGGAAGAGGAATTAAGGTTGTTTGCCGAAGCAAGAGCAAGGTCGTCCGATCCAAGCCACAGTGGCGAATCCAACAGCAAATATGTAGTCGATATGTTCGGACAAACTCACCCTCCAATTGCTAGCGAAATATTCAACTGCATGAACTGTGGTAGATCTATTATGGCTGGAAGATTCGCGCCTCACTTGGAGAAGTGCATGGGCAAGGTGAATTTTCCTTTCTGCCTCTCGTTTTATTTCAAAGTCGATGTTCTAGAATAAATATATGATTTTTATTTAAATGACTCGGGTTTATAGGGTAGAAAGGCTCGACAGAAGTCAACGAGAGCTGCACAGAACCAGAACTCGAAAGGGAGCACCGTTTCAAACCGTTTATCGAATGGAGGTTCTGCAAATGCAGGTCATGAATATTCTAATGGCACTTACGAAGAGGCTTGACTATGTTCGATTTTTTTGCAGGATCTTTTTTTCTCGCTGTAATATTTTAGAAACAAGAATCTGGTTTTCTTGGCTCATATCTGCAGATGTTTCATTTGGACAGCCCTTTGTAATTACAATTGAGTTTAGGGAACTTTTGTTGTTATATAATGGATGAATTACAGAACTTATTATTGAGGTTTTAATAGTCAATTTGAAGTCTATATAGTATATACTACAACGAAATATTTCCGGAAGAATCTGGAAAAATAAGAACAAAGTTGACGACTAAAAGTCCTCGTCGGTTTTGAACTCGTAATTCTTGGAACCCGCTTGGAGACTTGACATTACAGAAGCCTTTTGATAATCACCCACTCTTCTCTCAAAGAAGTTTGCTTTTCCTCTGCATAATCGAACACTGATCAATCTCTTGACACTAAATTAAAAAACAAATAAAAAAATTGCTAAATATAATTATTGACATGTTTTCATATCTCTCACGGTAATACTTACTGTAACGATATGGATTCCATCCAATCGAAAGGGTTTTCGACGTTGTACTTCTTCTCGTACCCTAAAGCTACCTGAGAAGCAAAAATTGATAAACACATTGTTTGTCTCTGTGTGTGTGTGTGTGTGTGTGTGTATGTATGTATGTATGCATGTGTGTGTGTGTGTGTGTGAGAGAGAGAGAGAGAGAGAGAGAGAGAGAGAGAGAGAGAGAGAGAGAGAGAGTATTACCAGGAGTCGATCGGCAACAAACTTTATATACTGGGTCATTAAAGCCGAATTCATACCAATGAGTGCACACGGTAGTGCATCACAAACGAATTCGATCTCGATTTCAACAGCCTCTTGCACAATAAGATGAACCCTCTGCATATGAAGTTGCTTCCTTAGTAAACTGCAGAATCGAGTCAAAAAAACCTAAATTAGTCAACTCCCTCGTGATTAGAATCCAATAATCTCAACACTCAGAAACAAGAATGACAAAAACACCTGTATAATAAGCAAGCAAAGTCACAGTGGAGACCCTCGTCCCTAGAAATAAGCTCGTTCGAAAATGTCAATCCCGGCATTAATCCCCTCTTTTTAAGCCAAAAAATAGCACAGAAGCTGAGAAATAACACGGAAATAAATCATTTAATTTATGTAGAAATTTAGAACACAAAAGAGAATATCGTTCTATATCGTAGGTATTATATTATACCTTCCGGAGAAGAATATGCCTTCAATACAAGCAAACGCAACAAGTCTCTCTGCGAACGAGCTAGAACTGCATTAAAAAAAAAAAATCAGTATTAGCAAACTCATCGAAAGTGCGTATACAGAGAAACGAAAGAAATAATATACCTCTTAATCCAATTTAAAGCCCAACTAGCTTTCCGTGCAACACAAGGAATGTTTTCGACTGCATTAAACAATCTGTGCTTTTCGTTCGGGTCCTTTATATATGTTTCCAAAAGCAAGCTATACATCTCTATCGAGAATCGTGACGAAGTTTAGAATCAGCTTTCTTAAAGCATGAAACTATAACAAAAATTACTACGAGGATCGGTTAAAGATCTTTACCAGAATGTATGTTTTCCATAGCAGTTTGGAATCCATAAAATGCTCGAGCCTATCGACAACCATCGAAGAAATCAATATCGTAAAAAAATGTTGATCGAAGTATATTAATCGATCCATAAAAATCAATTTTAGAATCGGAAGATAAACTTCTTAATAAATTTAGAACACCTTCTGTTGTTTCCGAGTTTTTCTCTACATAGGGAATTTATTAACTTGAAAAAAACCCCTTTCAAATGCATCATGTAATTCTAACACTACTTCAATAATCGAATAGAAGAACACAGTCGATCCCATTTTGGTAATATTATCTTTTTTCATAGAGAAAAGTTAACATAGATTCTTCACCTCGGGAATCTGAACGTCGTGAAGGAATCTGGCAGCTAAATTTTCCAAAACAATCCCATCGGATGCAGCAAAGAATGCCAGAACATGACTCACAAAGTGCTTTTCGGACCGAGTCAAAGAATCCCACTGTTGAACATCCTGCGACAGGTCAACCTCCTCGGCTGAAACCCAATATTTATGTTCAAAACACACATAATTAAGAGTAAACCAACGGAAGAGAAAATACCGAACATGTTCAATCCAAAACAAGAATCGATAAAAAATGTAATAACTTGTCATCCAAAAACAATAATCGATACGCAAGTATACAATCTTCGATCTCGTAAATAAATAACTACATAGCACCGCAACTCCGCAGCTCCATTTTAGTACACAAGTACGGAAATATCCAATCATGAATGAACGAGCAATCCAATTAGTCCATCCAACACACACAAGACTAATGCAAATTCTTATCAACTCAAACAATAACAAATCAAAAAATAGTATCTTTACACCTCGTTTGGTTTCCAAAACAAGATTAGCCAAGATAAGATTAAATAATCTAATGAAACCCAATTGTATTACATGCCTAGAAGGCAAGATAAGCCACGATAACATAATATTTACGGGTTGAACCGATAAGTTATCGGTATACCAAACATCAAACAAAGTCCCATTAGTTAGTTAATCGCGACTAATCTCCCCAACCAAACGAGGCCTAAGTATTATAAATCAAACACCATCACATGATGTCATAAGAAAAAAAACCAAAAACACAATTGCAAGCATCTTCACACATTTCAACAATTGTGTGTGTGTGTGTGTAAAATAGATATACATTATTACCAGTCCAGAAACTAGCTTCTGCTTTCTTGTACATCTCCCAAAGCTGTGGGTACTTAATTGGAAACATGCAATATTTCTGGGGTTGATCCATCAATATCGGTTCTTCTTCTTCTTCTTGAATTCCTTTTTCTTTACACAATCCTGTATCTATTTCATCCTTCCTCAGTGAACCCATCTTTTTTTTTTCCTTCTCTGGTTGAAGAACAGAGTACAAATTACTCTTATCTATATCTTCTGTACGGGTAAAAATAAAATAGACAAGACGGAAACCCTACTAAAACCCCCCTTCAGCAAATAAAGCGACAAGATTTCTAAGTTGATTCCGAATTCCAAATTGCCCTCGAAAAGATTTTTCGATTTTGTCTGATTAAAAGCATAAAGATTTCCTTTTTATTTAGGGTTCTGTGTGCGTGTCCTTTTGCATGGCCTATAGAATATGTGGTGTGTTTATATTCAATTTTTCTTTTATTTATTTATTCCTTTTTTGTCCCTTCTCAGAGCAGTTGGAATGAAATTTTCGATTTTCGTCAATTTGGATTCAAAGATTTAAATTTTCAAAAGTTACACTTGCAATGCTTATATATATTTTAGAATATATGTAACTAAGAAAATTAAAAGTGTTTTTTCGTTCCAATTTCTGAAATTACGAATTCTCAAATTTTCGATATCTTTTGGAATTGAAATCTAATTAATTCTCACTTTCGAATAAATATATTATTTTGAAAAATGTTAATTTCAATCCCATTTATAATCTTTTTGATTATTCGGTGTAATTTTTATTTTTTGCATTTTATGCATTCGAATTAGGTTGGAGGATAAAAATGAATTATCATTTATTATTCAATTAAGTGTTTTTCAAGGGTACAAAATGGCTAAAGACTCCATTTCAAGGGTGCAAAATATGATTAAGCCATTTATGAATGAAAAAGGCAAATTACATCTTGGCCCTTAACAATGTCTTTCCAATATTACCCCTCTCTAATCAAATTTCTTAATTACTAAAATTCGCCATCATTTTTAATTATTCAACTTTCAACCCCACAGACTTTTCCCTCCACACCAATCCCTACCACCGTCCGCCACCCATCGCCGACCACTGCCGTCATCAGTTTTTGATCTTCAGATATTTTGGTATTTGCTCACTTTTCTCTCACTAGATGATTTTGTGCTTCTTTGCTATTTGACTTTGTTGGTTTGACTTGATTTGGCTGATGACGGTCGTTTATTGCTTCGGATTTTATCTAGGGTTTCAGTACTTCGTTTTTCGATTTGGGTATACTTTTTTCTGTTTTATTGCTTCATTTTTCTATTTGATTTTGTGTTGTGATTTCTGAGTGTTGATTGAACTTAATAATAATAGAATTCCGAAAAAATTGAACAAAAAAATCAGACTGTTTCATTGCACAGTATTGATGAACAATTTATTCACTTGAATACTTGTTGTTTGGACACGATGTTAGTAGCTTTACGAAACGAAATGAGATCTTCGTTTACTTTTATTTATAAAAAAGATATTCATTGAATTTAATTCGAAGAATCTGGCTACTCCTCTGTTTAACCGTGTTACTTTTCCGAGCCCCCTTTTTAAGTTTTTATCGAACCTTTTATATGAACGATGGAGGAAGCTTGACGATAAAATTGGTGGTGCCGACTGGTGCTGGATTTCGAAATAGCTCTAAACGCAAAGTCTGTGGTAAGAAACCGATACCTTTATCTTTACGGACTTACTCATTTTAATGAAATATTGACGTAATTATGAAATATAATTATACATTAAATTGTCATAATTATATTTTATAATTTTTTGAGTGGTTGAAGTAAAAAAGGAAGATAAACATTTACTTGTCAAAATTAAATGAATTGGATGAAATTTTGATGTTAATACTATTGGAGACATGGCAAAAGAGTAGGATTATATTATTGAACATGTGCCTTACTTTATATAAAATTATATATCACATCATATAATATGATATTTTGTTTGGTCTGGTTGATGATCGTAGGATAATGGATATATGATTATATATGACATTATATTATATGATATGTTTGTTTGTTGATTGATAATTGTAGGATAATGGATCCTGCAAATTGCTACCGGAGATACTGAATTGCAATCTTTTGAATCATTATAAAAAGGGGGATACACTCACACCATATTCAACACTATCAAAATATTATTTATTTATATTTTAACACAGTCCTGAAAAATCAAACCTTATTCGAAACAACATGAATCTGACAGTCAAAGTAAACATGTTGTTTCTAGGTTTGTTTGTCCTTGTAAATACCAGTTTGTCCATCGACATTTCCAAAAATGGTGCAAATGTCGAAATGTCATCCGACTATTGTGAGAAAGGGAAAGTGAAACAATTTGGAGGCCTCGATTGCTATATTTCAGGCCCTTCTTATTCCAAAACTGCTATCATATTGATAACCGACGTCTTTGGTATTTTTCCTAATTCAGTTCTCTTTCAACGTTTTATTTATTTAATTTTTTAGGGGTATTTACAAAATTTCTATCATCATTTTTGGATAAGATATGATGTTATACTAGTCTAGACATGATTTATTATATGATACATCTCGTGAAATCTAATATACCGTTGGTCATATATAACATGTATTTTCACTAATATGAGTTTGAATTTCTTATAAATCGTAAAATTGTATTTGCTACACTGAGATTTTATTTTCTTCTTTCCATCTATTGCAGGATTTGCACCTTCTCATTCAAGGTACTCTTTCTAACAGGTGTAAACGTTTCAAGCTCAAGTTCAACGAGCCTTCCTTTGATATATTTGTGATTATAAATTAGAATATTATACTCCTCCATATGTATATGTATGTGTATATATATATTACTAATATGTAATGTTTTCGTTGATTACTATATATATAAAGGGAGATAGCAGATAAAGTAGCTGCTGCTGGATATTACACTGTGCTTCCAGATTTCTTCCGTGGCGATCCATATGTACGAGGAAAACCTTTCGCTCCTTGGATTAAAAAGCATGCACCTGTGAGTTCTATATTCAGACAATATTTTATATGAATTTGAATAATTCAGAACGAAAGTGACAAATATATCTCCACATAACAGTCAGTTAATATTATATCCGGAACTGTAGTAATCCAAGAATTTTCTGTAGAACTAGAACGATGATGTCTGAAAATTCTAGTTTCGATTTTGTAGGAAAAGGGAATTAAGGATGCAATTCCAATTATTAAAGCTTTAAAAGCAAGAGGCATTACTAAGATTGGAGTTGCTGGTTTTTGCTGGGGAGGTCTCTCTCTCTCTTTTTTTTTTATTATTATTTTTTTTATATTCATTGTTTTTTTTATATAATTAATTAAGGTCACATTTAAGCAAATTTTATCCATTTTTTTTATATGGTTTGTTGAAAGTGTAAACTTTCGTTGCAGGCAAAGTAGCAGCAGACCTGTCAAAGCATCCTTATGTCGAAGCTACAGTGTTGCTACATCCTACATCCACTACTACAGAAGATATTCGAGGTAGAATAAAATAAAATAAAATAAAATATTCACTTTTTAATTTCTCAACGTTACCTAAAATAATTTTCAGGAGACAAGGTTCCAATCTCAATTCTTGGTGGCGAGTTGGATGATTTGTGTAAACCAGAGCTTGTCAAAGAATTCGAAAATATTTTGAAATCAAAACCTGAGGTAACAAATAATTATCTGTATATATATTAACATATAAATTTCGATTAATTTCTTGTGTCATGGATCCATCTACTAACACTTTCTTCGTTTCTTGAAATTCATATGTTTATTTTACTGTCACAATTTATACATTTCGTTATTGTTTTTACTTATATAAACAAACACGAATTTCTTCTTCTTCTTCGACTTTTTATCTTGTTATTGATGAATAAATATATGTATGTATATGTTGGGTGTGTGTGCAGGTTGATAGTTTTGTGAAGATATTTCCAGGAGTTGCACATGGCTGGACGCTAAGGTACAACAATACCGAATTCGCCATAAAGAAGGCGGAAGAGTCTCACAGTGACATGTTGCATTGGTTTGATATGCATCTAAGACATTAAAACAAATTCCAAAAAAAAATTGTTTTAGATTATTGTAATATAAATAAGTTTTTCTAGTTTGAAATTGTATCAAAATTGGAAATATGGAGAAATACAATGTAATCTTATTTTGGTTTGACTTATTTAAAGCCAGGATTTCAAATCTATAAATAATAAAAATCCTTCGGTTATCAGTTTCAAGAATATGCTGATGTATTTTGATTTTGTGTTGTGATTTCCGAGTTTTGAACGTGATATAATATAATTCCAAAATATGGAACAAAAAATCAGACTTTTTTTACGGTACAGTATTGATAGACTATATATATATATGAACTATGAAGGAAGCTTGCTGATAAAATTGGTGGTGCTGGATTCCGAAGCTTTAAACGCAAAGTCTGAGGTAAGAAACCAATTCTTTATATTTACATTGATCAGTTTCTTACATTATGAATCCATTTACCGATGCTTTCTTTGTTCATGCATGCTTGTCCTAACATATAGTATTACATAATATATTGCTTGAAATAGTTATTCACCCGTAATAAGATTATATATTACATTATATTATATGATATATTTGTTTGTAGATTGATAACTGTAGGATGGTGGATCTTGCAAATTGCTACGTAGAAAGCGGAGGTACACACATTCCCAACCGAATTTCAATCTTCTGAAGCATTATAAATAGGGGGATACATTCACACCATATTCAACACTATCAAAATATTATTTTATTTATATTTTGAAACTGTCCTGAAAAATCAAACCTAATTCGAAACAACATGTATCTGACAATCAAAGTCAACATGTTGTTTCTAGGTTTATTTCTCCTTTTAAATACCAATCTGTCCCTCGATATTTCCAAAAACGATGCAAATATCGAAATGTCATCCGACTATTGTGAGAAAGGGAAAGTGAAACAATTTGGAGGCCTCGATTGCTACATTTCAGGCCCTTCTCATTCCGAAACTGCTATCATATTGATAACCGACGTCTTTGGTATTTTTCCTAATTCAATTCTTTTTCAACGTTTGATTTATTTATTTATTTATTTTTCTAGGGGTATTACAAAGTTTCCCCTGTCGTTTTTGAATAGGATATGATGTTATGCTAGTATAGACATGATTTATTATATGATACATCTCTCGAAATATAATAATTATTAGCATGTTTCGGTGTTGGTCTAAACAAGGTTCGATTCTTATAAAGATACTACGTGAATATTAGTTCATAAATTCAAAATTCATTACCTAATATGAATTTGAATTGCTTATAAATTGCATATACAAAAAGTGTTATTGCAATACTCAGATTCTATTTTCTTTTTTCCATATACTGCAGGATTTGCACCTTCTCATTCAAGGTACTCTCTATACCGGTGTAAACGAGCTCGAGTTCAACCAGCCTTCCTTTGATATATATATATATATATATTACTAATATGTATTGTTTTCGTATATGATTATATAAAAAGGGAGATAGCAGATAAAGTAGCTGCTGCTGGATATTACACTGTGCTTCCAGATTTTTTCCGTGGCGACCCATATCAACACGGAGCACCTTTGACTCCTTGGTTGAAAAAGCATGCACCTGTGAGTTTTATATTTATATAAATTTAAATAATTCAGAACGAAGGTGACAAATATATATTAAATCGGGAATTGTGGTATCCCGAAAGTTTTCTGTAGAACTGGAACGATGATGTCTGAAAATTCTAGGTTTCGATTTTGTAGGAAGAGGGAATTAAAGATGCAATTCCAATTATTGAAGCTTTAAAAGGCAGAGGCATTACTAAGATTGGAGTTGCTGGTTTTTGCTGGGGAGGTCTCTCTCTTCTTTTTTTATATTTATTATTTTAAAAAAAATTATGCAAATTTTTTCGGTTTTTAATTTTTTTTTTATCATATGGTTTGTTGAAAATGTAAACTTTCGTTGCAGGCAAAGTAGCAGCAGACCTGTCGAAGTATCCTTACGTCGAAGCTACCGTGTTGCTACATCCTACGTACACTACTACAGAAGATATTCAAGGTAGAATTAAATAAAATAAAAATTCGCTATTTAATTTTCAATTATTGAAAATTTGACAACTTTTAACTAAAACAAATCGCAGGAGACAAGGTTCCAATCTCAATTCTTGGAGGCGAGAAGGACACTTATTGCAAACCAGAGCTTGTCAAAGAATTCGAAAATATTTTGAAATCAAAGCCCGAGGTAACAAATAATTACCTGTATTTATATTTACATGTAAAAATTTCGATTAATTTCTCACACCACGAATCCATCTACCAACACTCTCTTCGTTTCTTGAAATTCAAATGTTTGTTTTACCGTCACAGTTTACGCATTCGATTAAATTTATTTACCGTGTTCGACTTGCTAAATATTATTGTTGGGTGCAGGTTGATAGTTTTGTGAAGATAGTCCCAGGAGTTGACCATGGTTGGACTCTAAGGTACAACAGTTCCGAATTCGCATTAAAGAAAGCAGCAGAATCTCACAATGACATGTTGGATTGGTTTGAAATGCATCTCAGATATTAAATCAATTTCCCTAAATAAATAAATGTTGTTTTAGATTTATTGAGATGTAATTAATAAGTATTTCCAGTTTGAAATGTATCAAAAATGGAAATATTGAGAAAATACAATGTAAATTGTATTTTTGGATGGATGTATTTAATAAAAAATCTTACCTATTCTGATTATTTCATTCTGTATATACATATAAATATGTAAACATTATTTAATATTCTAGATAACTTATTCAACAACGTAAATAAAAGGGTAAATTACAAACACCCCCCTGAGGTATGGTCAAATTACAAAAAACACCCCTCTTGTTTGGATAATTACAACCACCCCCTCAACTCCTCAAATTTAATGAAATCTTCGAGATTATATGGAATATTATCACTTTTGTACCTGTTTTATCTCATTCAAACTCTACATTATGAAGCAAGATGATCATAATATGTGATTTTTAGCTTGTATATATCAGTTTTTGGTGCATCGGAAACTGTATTTTTACACAAGACGAGTACAAACTAGAGCAAATTTCACGGAATCTAGATGATTATGTTGAATTTGGCACCATAAGGGTGGAGGTGTAAGAAAAAATCACAATTGAGGGGGGTAGATGTAATTATCCAAACAAGAGGGGGGTTTTTGTAATTTGACCATACCTCAGGGGGGTGTTTGTAATTTACCCTAAATAAAAAGAACTTTTTCCCAAATAAAAATTACATATAATAAATGAAAATACTTTCAAACAAAGCACATGCAAATTGTAAATCATGTCCACTAATAATGCTAAGGTCTTTGTGGTCAAGTTACAAGTGGAGATCTTTTGGGCCCTTTCAATTTTTATTGTTTTGGGTCCCCACATTTATCTAAATAAATTTATAAATAATTATGGATCTTAAATTAGTCCTCAGATATTTATTTATTTTTTCACAAATAATTTTTGATTTTTTTTGTTAACGATGACCACTCATCAAGCATGATAATTATACTTACTCGTCCCGACCTATCGATTGGAGCCAGTGAACATGTGCTAATTGGCTCATGTTCGAGTTTCTTTGTCACACATTGTTAACCGAGTGGTTTACGTGTCTCGTTTAAAAAAAAAAAAGGAATTATACTTATTCCAAAAGGATAGAGATAAATAATGTTCCTTACAACTAGCTGTTATATGCTTTCTTAAGTATGAGAATTAATAGAGTTTTCTTGTGGTGTTTTATAAACTATTGGTATATTTTTTAATATATATTTAATTATTCACCAAATTCCAAATATTAAAAACATTGTATAACAACACACTGTGGACACCTAGAATTTACAGCTTCCAACTTATACCAATTTCTTTTATATTCCCTAGAGGCTACACTTACAAGCCATGTGACACGCACATGCCACCGATCTCATGCTACTATACTGAAATGTTGGTGTATTTCAATAATAATAATAAAAAAATAAATTATTATATGTGCAAATAAATGCCAAATTTAATTATTCAATTTTTTACTGAATTTAATTATTTTGAATTTATTATATTTTCATATAGCCTGTAATTGTTTTTTTCAATTTATTATATTGTGTTTAACATTAATAACAATATTAAAACACAAATTAAAATTGGTTGAATAATAAATCAAGAATGAGTAATTAATTATATGTAATAATAGCCTTATCTAAATGTATGTATATGCCCTGTTTTTTTCTCTCTCCCAAGAGTTTCAGTAACAGTGCAGTAAACGCAGACCACACTTCTCTCTCTCCTCTCTTTCTCTCTCTAGAAGATCCAAACACAGGTTTCTTTTTTACCTTTAAATCCTTGAGTTTCTCTCTCTAAAACCCCATTCACACTTTGCGAACTTCTCTTCTTGTCCCCCATTTCCACAAATATATTTCTTCCCACTAGAGATAATCAATCGCCCAACGATCTAGGCGAACTCCCATTTTCTCTCAGCTACAAATTTCTCATACCTATTAATTATTTTACCTGAACCAAACCCCTTTATCGTATTCGAGGGTTGCACTTGAAAATATCATCTGGGATTTCTTCACAATTTTGTCTTTTGTTTTTTTTTTGTGTAATTGATATTTCTGAAGTCCACTTCATTTTCCGATCCAATTAAAAATTGGGGGTTTTTGCTGGGTGATCGAATCTTGCTGAGTTTTAGTATAGATTCGTCTCTTAGATGCTTTTTGGATAAAATATGCAGTCCGATCAAAGAAAAAAGGTACGGTGTTTCACTTCCAGCTTCGCAATATCTTGCGTATAATATTTTATGATTTTATCTACTGTGTTTGTATTTGTGGATTGATGATTTGTTTGATGGTAGTGATTCTTGAATGTGAATTGGATTTATTGAAATTTATCTAACTGGGAGTCACGGGTCACAATTCACGAATCTTCATGTCGAGTTATGATTTCGATTTTCTGAAATTTAGGGTTGAATTTAATTAACAAGGGTTTCAAGAAATGGGTGGATGCTAAGAGTTAATTTATGGGTGACTTTAGTATGTTGATTGTAGTTGTGTTGGTTTCTTGGTCTTCCTTTTCGTACATTCACTACGATAAAATCTTGTCGATTATTGTTTCTTTTTTTGTATTTCTGGTGAATAAGTTTTGAGAGCAGCCCGATGTTTTTCCCGTGATCTGCATAGATTGAAAAGTCAATCACACGAATAGTCAAAAATCAAAACGCTTGCAGTTTTCGTTGAGTAACGAAAGTGAATGTAATGCAGGTTTTTCCAATTTCGCAATTGGTTAAAACAAAAAGTATTTGGCATTGTTTGTCGTTAGTTAAACCATCGACATATCTTGTAAATTAATTGGGCATTGTTAAAAACGATCAATTCTTGATTTTCCTTTTTCCAATTTCTCCAAAAGCAAATTATTTCGTTTGGTAGTTACGCGTTTTTTTGGATTTGTTCGCCTTCATATCTATTTTTTCGTCTCAAAAACTTAATTTTTGACTCCTGCACTTACTATTTTAATTGCAGGCGTCTGATGTAGATTTCTTCACCGAGTATGGCGAAGGAAGCAGATATAAAATCGAGGAAGTAATAGGCAAAGGCAGCTACGGAGTTGTCTGCTCAGCATACGACACTCATCTCGGTGAAAAAGTTGCAATAAAAAAAATAAACGACATATTCGAACACGTCTCAGATGCCACACGTATTCTTCGAGAGATTAAGCTTCTTAGGCTTCTTCGCCATCCGGATATTGTCGAAATAAAGCATATTTTGCTGCCACCTTCTAGAAGGGAATTTAAGGACATATATGTAGTGTTCGAATTAATGGAATCGGATCTTCATCAGGTCATTAAAGCTAATGATGACTTAACTCCCGAACATTATCAGTTCTTTCTTTACCAGCTTCTTCGTGGCATGAAATACATACATACAGGTAATTATGCAATAATAATCTCAAAATATACATATCTTTTTTAAAAGGGAAATTATTTATAGGGTGTTTGTTTATGCAGCTAATGTGTTTCATCGAGACTTGAAGCCGAAGAATATCTTAGCAAATGCCGACTGCAAATTAAAGATTTGTGATTTCGGCCTTGCTAGAGTGGCCTTTAACGATACTCCCACTGCAATATTTTGGACAGTATGTTTTGTTTCCTTTTTTTTTTAAAATTTTTTTTTTCTCGACGTGCTTCGTACATATTTACTTAGATATTAAATATATATATTTTTTATAACTTGTAGGATTATGTTGCAACGAGGTGGTACAGAGCTCCCGAATTGTGTGGGTCTTTTTTCTCTAAGGTATAATAAATAAATATCTCAACTGTTATGGAGCTTGAAATTTACATATTTATAAACACCGCGCATCTTTTTTTTTCTTTTTTATGATGATGGTGATAATAATTTCGAAAATTTATTTATTTTGCTTGTTTTTGCAGTATACACCTGCAATCGACATTTGGAGTATTGGCTGCATATTTGCAGAGCTTTTGACTGGACGACCTTTATTCCCCGGAAAAAATGTGGTTCATCAATTAGACCTTATGACCGATTTATTGGGAACTCCGCCTTCTGAAACCATTGCTAGGGTGCGCCACATATATATTTATATTTATATAGAGAGAAGCTTATCAATTAATTAATTTATTTATTCAACCATATAATGTGACAGATAAGAAACGAAAAGGCACGAAGATACCTAAGCAGCATGAGAAAGAAAAAAGCGGTTCCTTTGTCCCACAAATTCCCAAACGCGGACCCTTTTGCTCTTCGGTTATTGGAAAGAATGCTTGCTTTCGATCCGAAGGATAGACCTACCGCAGAAGAGGTTAGTTATATTTGTATATTATTTATTTTTTCACTTTTCCTAATTACTGAAAGAAAATTAAAAAAATGATTGTTGTGAGCTGTATCAGGCTCTTGCAGATCCGTACTTCCGTAACTTGGCTAGAGTGGAAAGAGAACCTTCCGCACAACCGGTTACTAAAATGGAGTTCGAATTCGAAAGGAGAAGAATCACAAAAGACGATGTTCGAGAATTGATATATCGAGAAATTCTTGAATATCACCCCAAAATGTTGAAAGAGCAGTTAGAGGGAGCTGAACCCACAAGTTTCATGTATCCAAGGTAATTAATTATATTATCTTTAATTATTATTAGTTATTCTAAAGTTATATTTATTAGTTAGTTAAATTGCATTCCTCGTTTACAGTGCTGTGGACAAATTCAAGAAGCAATTTGCCTTTCTCGAGGAGCACTGGAAAAATGGATCTGCAGCTCCACCCGAGAGACAACACTCTTCGTCTTTGCCTAGGTATTTTTTTTTTCCTTTTTCTTAAAGGAGCTTTGTTCGTGTTTTTTATTTCGAATTGTAGTGGGGCCCACTAAAAATGGTTATGTTTGGACACAGGACATGCGTACTATATTCCGATAACTCAAACCACAGTTCAGTTGGTGATGTGGCTAATGAATTTTCGAAGTGCTCCGTTAAAGAAGATGAGAAGATCCAAGCTCCTCAAAATATCCAAGGTACAATTCATCGACTATTTGTCGCATAATGTCAAATGGTTCCTATTCGAGGTGGAAATTGGAATGGAATTTCCGGTTTCCGTCGATTCTGATCCGAAATTTTCTGATTTTGGAACAATATTTTCCGTTCCGAATTCCAAAATTTTGATTTCCGATTTTTACAGCATTTTTCGGATCGGAATTGGAATATATACGAGATTCCGATTTCCAGTCTTATTTAAATTTCTCAAAATTACAGTTATAATTTCGATAGTTTTATATATTAGATGATTAAAAAAATGGAAAATTCCTTGTTTCATTCCAATTTTCAAAATATCGATTTTCACCTTTTCAGGGTGCAAATTCTGATCCGATTTCCACACCTGGTTCCTATTACGATACAATTTTCAAAATCTTTTCTAATTTGTCCTTTTTTTTTTCCGGAATTCATCGCAGCTAGGGCAAGTGCCGCGAGGCCAGGGAAGATTGTGGGTCCGGTATTGCGTTACAACAACTGTGGAGCAGCAGCAGCAACAACATCGGTAGATGCAAACGAACAACGAAAAACAATAAGGAATCCTAGTATACCAGCTCAGTATATCGGCCCCAACTCTTCTTACCCTAGGAAGCAATCGGGCCTTCCCGAAGGTTCCGGAGACGGGCCGAACGGGCTTCAGCCCAAACCGGATGCCTACTTGGCAAGAAAAGTCGCTGCTGCTGCTGCTGCTGCTCAAGGTGGCCCCGGAAGCCACTGGTATTGAAAACAAAATAAAATTTGCCGATACCCCTAAAATGAAACATAAAAAAATGCAAAGAATCGGCATTTGTGGTGAAGTTTCACATCACTGATCCAAGATCGAACGGTCCAGATTGTAGCTGGAGATGGGGAATAATGTAGGGAGTTGAAGCGAACGAGCGACCGAAGAATACTATTTAAATATTTAACTGTGTACCTTGATTGATCCTACCTCATTGCAAGAACCAGATGACTGACACTTGATTAATCTTGTTCATCCTGCTTTTTTTTTTTTTCTGTTTGTGTAATGGGAAATTAATATTTGCTAATTAATCTATTATGACCTTATTGATATTCTAAACCTTTGTGTGTGTTGAAACATTTCTGTAATAAATTACCCAATGAACCCTAATTTTGTAGATGCAGTTGATTTCGAATTTACACATTTCCAAATACAAAAAAATAAATATATAATTTTTTTTTATTTTTTTATTTTTTATTTATTTTTTAATTTTCTTTTAGGCTTATAGCAGAAGTTTTGCAAACACCACCCCAAAAGCATTTCAAATTTATTTCTTCAAATTTTGTTGAAACTGAAAACCACCATTGTCGAGCAGGTTTCCAGTACATTCGATGCTGCTCCGAAGGTTGTGCACCTCTGTATCAAAATCCTACCCGTACCCGTACCCGTTTCTTCCTTCTTCAATACCCGCAAACCCACTTTCCAATTCCAACTCTTACCCAATACTTTCGCCCAATTTCAAAACCCTAGGGTTAGGGTTTCACACAACCGCCTCTGCAGATTCAGGCACCGCTCACTCCACAAATTCCACCATGGACGAATCCAGAAGACCCGTACCGCTCCCAATTCCACACCCGGGAACGGCGGGTCGGGCCGAAGTGTTTCGTGCCCTAGAAGCCTCTCTCGGATCCACATTCAGCTCTCACCCCATAGCCCCAAACCCTAACCCCCTAATCATCGTCATCAGCGGCCCCAGCGGCGTCGGAAAAGACGCTGTGATCAAACGCCTCAGAGAAGTCCGACGAGACCTCCAATTCGTGGTCACCGCCACCAGCCGCCGCAAACGCCCCGGCGAAATCGACGGTGAGGACTACCACTTCATTACGAAGGCCGAGTTCCTGGAAATGATCGAGAGAAACGAGCTCCTGGAGCACGCGCTCGTGTACGGCGAGTACAAAGGGATCCCGAAGCAGCAGATTAGGGAATACGTGGCGGAAGGGCGCGACGTCGTTTTGAGGGTCGATGTGCAGGGGGCCTCCACTCTGAGGCGGATATTGAAAAACGGTGCCGTATTCGTGTTCGTGGTGGCGGAGAGTGAGGCGGCGTTGGTGAATCGGTTGATTGGTCGGAAAACGGAGAAGGTGGAGGATTTGGCGATGAGGGTGGCGGCGGCGAGAGAGGAGATTAGGTGTTTGAAGGAGTTTGATTACGTGGTTGTGAACGAGGATGGTGAGCTCGAGAGATCTGTGGAGATGGTGGCCTCCATTATCGATGCTGAGAAAGCTAAAGTGCACCAAAGGAGACCTCTTTTTTAGATCATTTCTTCAAGGTTAGTATATAAAGATTTGACATTTTTTCGATTTTTAATAAATATCGTGTACGATTTTTTTGTAATTTTGCTTGTCGATTCAAATATTAGTAAAACATTGGTTAGATGATCTATTTATTGACTACAAATTCATAAATATTGTTTATCCTATATATTTGAGTGGTAAAAAATATTATTTGCTTTTTCAAAATTTCGGCGGTTTTTACTCAAAATTTCTGCGGTTTTTACTAAAAATATTATATAGTATACATTTTTTTGAGTTTTTCTTCATGATTCAAATATTAGTGAATAAATATACAAAATATACTTGACATTTTTTTCGATTTCTAATAAATAGCGTGTACTACGATTTTTTGTAATTTTGCTTCACGATTCAAATATCGGTGAAACATTGGTTAGATGAACTATTTATTGACGACTTACTGATAAATATTGTTTATGCTATATATTTGAGTGGTAAAAATCATTTATTTGCTGTTTCGAAATTTCAGCGGTTTTTACTAAAATACGTGTGCTATATATATAGTATACAATTTTTGAGTTTTTCTTGATGATTCAAAAATTGGTGAAATATATATAGATAAACTATTTCTGGACCACATATGGATAAAAATCTTCCATGGTGTATATTTGAGTGTTTAGAAATATACGAAAAAAGATTTGACGTTTTTTCGATTTTTTATGAATAGCGTGTACTATAGTATACAATTTATTTGTAATTTTCTTTGACGATTCAAATGTTTGTGTAACATTGTTTAGATGATCTATTTATTGACTACTTATGGATAAATATTGTTTAGACTATATTCTTGAGTGGTAAAAAATATTAATTACTTTTTCAAAATTTCAGCGGTTTTTACCAAAAAAACGTGTGCTTATATTTAAATAAACCATTTCTAGACTACTTATGGATAAAAATCTTCCGTGGTATATATGAGTGTTAAGAAATATACGAAAAAGATTTGACATTTTTTTTGATTTTTTATGAATAGCGTGTACTATAATATAGTATACGATTTTTGGTAATTTTGCAGAAAGATTCAAATATTAGTGAAACATTGGTTAGATGATCTATTTATTGACTACTTCTGGATAAATATTGTTTTGACTATATTCTTGAGTGGTAAAAATATTATTTACTTGGTCGAAATTTCAGCGTTTTTTAACAAAAAAACATGAGCTCTATAGTATACATTTTTTTGAGTTTTTGTTGACAATTCGGAAATTAGTTAAATATATTTAGATAATTTATTTCTAGACTACTTATGGATAAACGTCTTCTATATAGTCTATATTCGAGTGTTAATAAAAACATACAAAATGAATTTGACATTTTTTTCGATTTTTAATAAATAACGTGTACTATATAGTATACGATTTTTTTGTAATTTTGCTTGACGATTCAAATATTAGTGAAACATGATTCAGATGATCTATTTATTGACTACTTATGGATAAATATTGTTTTGACTATTCTTGAGTGGTAAAAAATATTATTTGCTTTTTTGAAATTTCGGCGGTTTTTACTAAAAAAACGTGAGCTATAGTATACATTTTCCTGAGTTTTTCTTGATAATTCGAAAGTTAGTGAAATATATTTAGAGAAACTATTTCTAGACTAATTATGATTAAAAAATATTATATAGTATATATTTGAGTGTTAATAAATATACAAAAAATATTTGATATTTTTTTGATTTTTAATAAATAGTGTACGATTTTTGTAATTTTACTTGATGATTCAAATATTGGTGACACCTTGTTTAGATGATCCATTCATTGACTACTTATTGATAAATATTGTTTATACTATATATTTTAGTGGTAAAAAATATTATATACTTTTTTCAAATTTCAGCAATTACTAAAAAAACGTGTGCAATGTAGTATACAATTTTTTGAGTTTTTCGAGATAATTCAAAAATTGGTGAAATACATTTAGATAAAGGGTAAATTACAAACACCCCCTGAGGTATGGTCAAATTACAAAAAAACCCCTCTTGTTTGGATAATTACATCTACCCCATCAACTATGATTTTTTCTTACACCTCCACCCTTATGGTGCCAAATTCAACATAATCATCTAGATTCCGTGAAATTTGCTCTAGTTTGTACTCGTTTTGTGTAAAAATACAGTTTCCGATGCACCAAAAACTGATATATACAAGCTAAAAATCACATATTACGATCATCTTGCTTCATAATGTAGAGTTTGAATGAGATAAAACGGGTACAAAAGTGATAATATTCCATATAATCTCGAAGATTTCACTAAATTTGAGGAGTTGAGGGGTGGTTGTAATTATCCAAACAAGAGGGGTGTTTTTGTAATTTGACCATACCTCAGGGGGGTGTTTGTAATTTACCCTTTAGATAAATTATTTCTACACTACTTATGGATAAATGACATTTTTTGATTCTTTGTAATTTAGCTTGACGATTCAAACATTAGTCAAACATTTTTCGAGATTACCGATTTATCGACAATATACTTTTTAGCGCTATAAAATGTTATTCTGAAAAGAATATTGACATTTCTGCTAGCGATTTTTAATAAATTTGTCTACATAAATAAAAATAAAATAAAAAAAAGAAAGAAAAATAAAACTATCATTTGGAGAGAGCATTCTCTACATATTTCTCTGTTCTTGTATCATATTTTCCATCCACTCCCAAACTAATTCACAAACACTATTATCTACCAACCAATCAAACATCATTTCCCACACCACATAATACACTTTCCAAACATATTCAATTCTATCTTTTTCTTTTCTTTTTTTAAACAATGTCATATAATAAATAAATCATCTGTTACGAAAGAAATTGAGATCCCAACGCCGTAATAAACCATCCATGATATTATTGGTCGGTGTTTTCTCGACTTCCAAAGTTACCTTCGTACGATCCGCCATGTCAGCTTCTGACGAACCCCCATTGGCCAACGGTGCATCACTATATGATGATGTCACCTCTCTTGCTTTTTCTTCCTCTTTCCGAGACGGAGCAGTGTCTTTGGTTGTTATGTTCTTTATTTCAATTAAGGGCTCGTTTGGATGATTTTTGTCAAGAATATCGGGATTTGGAAGTGGGGTTTGTGATTCCAGTGTATCACAATCGGTTGCTGAGGTGGAAACTTGCTCAGTTTTAATGGAATCGGTTTGAGTAGATAAAGAATCTTTCGATGATTCTTCGACTCGAGGGGGTCCCACATCCATGTCTTTTAGTGACTCCAGCACAGCTACCATGAGCATCTGAAAAATTCATATCACAGCTAAAAATTGTCAGCATACATATATATATATATATATGCACATATATAAATATATAAAACTTGCCCTTTCTTCTTCTTCGACATTGGTTGGGAAATCGGCCAAAGTGTCGAGTGAGTATTCGACATATTCATCATCGTCTATTGATGCAGGCAGAGAACCGCGCGGACTGGTGCTCGATAGTTCAAAGCTTATCATATTAGAAGATGATGCCTGAGAATCCAAACCCCTACTCTCCACCTGCATCATAGGATTAAAAATATATATAAGAAAAAAAAAAAAAAATCGGATCGATAAAACAAAGGGGTTAAAGCAGTGACATGTTTCTTTTGCAGTTGATTTAAGTTTTCTTTATTATTTAATTATCATCATCCAAAGTGCCTTACAATCGTTATTATTAACCTATCCACGTTGCCCTATTCGATTTATACACTTTAGGCATTTTAAAGGTAATGAAATGCACTGAAGATTTAATGCAAAAATTTGTGGAAAAACGATACCTGGGCATCGGGTTGCTTATCTTTGGATGAAATATCTGAAGGAACCTGGAAAATGAAATTCAGTTACGATCATCGGACAGAGTTGAAGCAATTAAATTGGTGAAATTATGATAAAAAGCTAAAAATATTATGATGTTAACTACTTCGAATATCGTGAAATAAAAAATAAAAAAAAAAACAATTTATCATGTTAAATAAACTTAAATATTACCACTATGGAACTCATAGGTCTTTTCGAACGAAGTAAATTAATGGCATCATCGTTGCTACTAGTTGCTGGATCTGAGTTCGAGCAGAAATAAACTATTACAGGTCTTTACAAAATATTAGGACCAAAATCGAAAAACAAATAGACAACACATACCAGCATGTGCGGGTCCCAATAATTCATCAGAATAATCGAGATCATGTATGGTACTCCAATTATCCTGAGAGTTTGCAGAGATGATTATACGACATGTATTGAAACCAGAGATCTAGCTAGTAGAAAACAAATAAACGTTGAGCAATTTTTTACCTTGGAAAAATACTGATTAGTCAAGTCAAAATATGTACTCCCTACTTCATTCACCGGGGGTTGTAATACATTGTTGAAAAAAATACTTATAGAATCGAAATAAAATTCGGGCCGGGGAGAATTGTGGTCACCCTCGAATTTAATTATATTCTTGTCCCCCTACACTTGCAGAATCAAAACATCAGTAATATATTCAACAAGCAAATTATCCCAATAAAAATTTAGAGACAGAAAAAACGAAAAGAAACAAAAAAAAAAAAAAAAAGGTGAACAAATACCACGTAAGCATCAAATATACGATCTGAGTGATGGGGTTGTATGAAATCGTCATCAATGGCATGACCGAAAAGAACTGGTACGAAGCACGACTTTGCAACCTGAAAATATAAGATTGGAACTAATATTAATAAAATAATGCGTGGATAAATTCAAATTCCAAAGGTAAAAGAAGAATCGGTCCACAATCTGTAATAAGAAGAATCGGTCTACAATCTGTAATAGGAATAATTATTCTTACAAGTAATGTTGTTCATAAAAATAATTAATCTTACAGCTTCAATCATATAAAGATTTCTTTTCTCCGGGTTGACAACATTCCTAATTAATAAGCGGAAATAGTAAACACAAACTAGATTCAAAATAATACCTTTATAGTGTTGAGGTCCGTAATGTCAAATTTTGCCTTTTTTTGAATTGCTCTCCGCATAAATTGGATTGCAAACTTAACCTACAGAAAAAGGGAACAAACACTAAACAAAAATCGAGCATGCCAAAGGTGAATGAAGTAAAAAAAAAAAAAATTATATATAATAACTTGAATCTTTGTATGAAAAAGTTGTGAACTTACAGTGAATTTAGGTAGCCTGACTTTGTAAGTATCGACTAATTCCATCATTAAGTCAACCAAATCAGAGAAGGGGCTGTCCAAAACCATTCCTGCTATGGAAGGATCTTCAGCTCCATACATCAAGCTGAAATAAACACAACCGTCAAACTCTGTTTACGAGAGTTTGTGCGCGCGCGCATGTGTGGGTGTGTGGGTGTGTGGGTGTGTGTGTGTGTGTGTGTGTGTGTGGGTGTGTGTGTGTGAGAGAGAGAGAGAGAGAGAGAGAGAGAGAGAGAGAGAGAGAGAGAGAGAGATTGTATGCAAAAATGCTGAAAAATGAATCAAAGACAAGCAATTGATCTTCATAACTGAAACTTATGAAGAATAATACGAACTTATTAAATCTAAGTGACACTTGCTATCCTAACGCATTTAACCAAGTAAAGAATAAATAAACCGACCTACCTAGTAACAGCACCCATAGAGCGGCCCCATAAACCAATCAAAGAAACATTCCCATCTTCCCGTAGATAATCAACCACAGCTTTTAGATCGTCCTTCTGCAAAACCAGCACCAAATTTCATCACAAAAACAAAAAAAGATTGCTATATGTGATGTCAACAGTAGCATTGTTCTTAAAACGAGCTAGTATGTCACTTACTTCATTCCAGCCCAAGGTAACATGCTCTCCTCCAGAAAGTCCCGAACCGGAGAAATCGAGAGTGAAAACAGTTATATTTGATGGCAACAATATAATAGCAGCTTCACTAGCATCTGTTCGACAACCACTGATAAAGAGATCAACACAAACGAGTTAAATTAGTCAATAGTAGATGACAAAGGAAAAATCTACTTAATACACAACTAAAAGTTCTGCAAAATTCAAAAGACATTTACGAAAACCAGTGGTTACAATCTGACATTGTTGTGGAACTTAAACCGATAGACTGATACATGATATTAAAGTTATCATTGACAACTATCGTTCTTAGATTTACGAATTATTCCTTTCACTTCCGTGCTTCTATAATCAATGGACAATAAAAGCAACCATCAAATATTTTTGTTGCCATTACGCCATTTTACAACCATCAAAGTGTTTTCAACAGATGAGAATTACTAACCTGTTTCCATGGCAATAGATCACACAGGGCAGTGGATTTCCATCGGGACAGATAATAGGAACGTAGTGGCTGCATTGGAGAGTATCTCCTCTAACATTTACAATCTGCATAATGATAAAATCATATATTCGTAAAGATAACTTCTTGTAAGTATAATCCCAAAAAAATATAACAAAATACTTCGTCATTGTAGGTTCAAGCGTCAACATTTATTCTTTGGGCTACCAAGGACAAGTGTTTATTTTTTCCTAATATACATATCTTGACAAAATTTTCCTCAAGAGTGCAAATGAGAATCAAATAGATGTAGATATTTAATTCTAGAAATAAAATGAGAATTATTATTGGTCGCGTTCCAAGTTGAAATA